AATACTAAATAATAATAATAATATAATAATAATAATAATAACTAATAATAATAAAATAATAATAAATCGTTCTATAACACCGGTATTGCATAAGACTTCAGTGCAAACTCACGATAAGACCACCAGACATAGAAGACTAAGGAACTGAGGCGATGGAAACTCACTTGAAAATTCCTGAATCAAGAGATAGCATGAACTTTCAATGGTACTATTGAACCAGTTGAAGCCCATGAAACACCTTCATAGAAACCGAAAATTAAAACTGAACAGCAAAATATATATAGAGAAGCACATAACCAACCAGGCCACCAGGTTCATTGAAGAAAAAGGATATAGAAGTATACCATACTGGACTATCTGGATTGGTAGTCTGGAATAAGACTAATGGTTCTGAGTTGCAGCTAGTAGGGGATGATAGAAAAGATGCCAAAAAGATGGGTACTGAGGTTCTAGTGAACTTCACAAGGATAGAAATAGTGTAATATAACAGTTTACAAGTATTCTAAGTATCCTCTGTGACTTCAAGTGTTAGATAACTATAGTGTGTTGCATAAAACTAGGTCTATATGTGTGGGACATAAAGGCTCTAGTAAGTTTCTTATCGAGGATAAAGTAGTCCTAAAGAGACCGATAAGCATCAGGAACTTGGATAGATGATGCCTTAAGATGTTCTTATGATACAAGGAGGACTGTATATGCAGAGGGTTTAAATAGGCAAGACCCCTAGCTGGCTTGCAAGTATGGCAACTAGTATAGAACTCATATAGTAATGTGTAAGTGAACTACTTAAATTAGACACCAAAAATGCATGTGTGGCTAGTTGTAACCTCCAATGTAAGGTGAGCCCCTGATGGCATGCCATGTCCTAATATACTTGAATAAAAACATCGCTACTCCCAAGATAGGAACTTTAACTAAAAAAAAAAAAAAAATAAAGTTAGGAAACTGTAAATCAAAAAAACAGTAGATCTTATACTACGTATAAATCCAAAAATCTGAAATGTCATATAACAGACTTAATGAAGCATAAGTCATTTCATGAGTTCAGTGACATATAAGGTCACACATCATTCAATGATCTTTACAGAATGATAACTTTGACTTTTAAGAAATGTGCCAAATTCTAAAAGTGTCTAAGGACCTTTAGAATAGTGAAAAAAGATGAAAAAAATCTGCTAAATGCTAACAAACATATCAACATCCTGTAAAACAATGTTCCATTGTGCTATAATGTGGTAATTTATAAAAACCAGACATGAAAACGTACAAGCTAATGGTTCTTTAAATAATTTTATTAAGTTTTCTAAAAGTATTGGTGGATTGTACAAGAACAGCTAGAGCAGTGTCTAAAATACGAATGTGTGGATCCAATTAAATAGCTTTATTTCAGAAATCAAGCAATTTGATTGGATTCGCACATGATTTAATTGGTATCAAGTGTCAGTAATCTGAATATCAGTAATTAATAACGATAACGAAAAAAAAGGGAATTGCTATTCGCACCATAGATTTTTGCTATTCGCATCACGGTATGTAGATTATGACCAGAATTAGTTAGAGTTGGGGTAAATTGATTTTCATAATGTTAGTCACTACGGTGCGAATAGTAATTCCCCCAAAAAAATCACTGCCAAATTCTACTTGAACGATCACATTCTAATTGGATGGAATCCAAATGTAATTCTTTTTAAAGCTTTTATTGAAGATATCACGGTAGCCATCTATCTAAAATAAATAATTTTTTTTTTCATTTCGATTCAAGAAAATTATGATTAAAATAAAAAATATTCTTGCTCAAAGTTAAAAAAAAGCTTAAAGAACTCAAAATAGACTAGCAAAATTTTTTCTAAACCTTTGAGCAAAGATATCCCAACAATTATCTATCTAAAATTGATGAAAATTGAATTGAATCGAAAATTTTTCGTTTGGTGCGCACATCCTGTAGTATGTGTATTCTTTTTTTATCCTGGGAATATATAATTCGCTCCTCTATACTGCATTCGAATCTAATTGGATTGACACCAAAACGGTTTTTTGGGTGACAACTTTTATTTGTTCTCTTTTTTAAACAAAAACCCCTGTTTCAATTATAAATATTGTATCGTTATATGAATTATCAACTTTAATTCGACACAAATCCCAAATTTACCCATATGCATATGCATACGGATTATCTCGAAAGTAGTATTGATACTAATACTAAATAAACCTAGGGATCTGTACATGCCCACAAAATAAAATTTATTGTTTTTCAAAAGTTCGGCCCGCATTTTACTACCAGGCCCGTAATTTTGTAAGGTTTTTAAAATTTTTTAATTTCGGCCCGGCCTCTAAATAAACCTATATTCTGCATCATTTTGCACAAAATTTTAATAATCAGTAAAGATTATTATTGCTATAGAATTTTTATAATACAAACCCATTTCTTAGGTGAATGGGTTTCTTAATTATTTAGTTGCAATTTATATAACAGAAGTACATGAATTATAAAAAAATGATAAAAATTTAAAAGAAATTATTTTCCTTTGATGTCAAGGGATTCCCGCCCGTATCAAATAAAAAACCATAACATTACTAATATCTATAAATGCTAAAATATTTAAAATATATAAACGTAATAATATAAGATAAATAATACAAACAGTTTACATATGTATAAAAAAATAAAAATAAAATAAAATAAAGTCGATAAACCCAGTTTTCGGACCTACTATACAAATCTAATTAATAACGATTTCTATGATATTGGTCCAATGTACTTTGGAAAGGATCCCGATCCACCCTTAATACTACCTCACCACCATCATCATCGTATTGTAATGATAAACGATGCCTTCGGTAACAATAGCAAAATGCCGTTAGAGCACCTATGAGACAAATACTACCAATGACAGAAACGCCTATCACTAGACCTGATGAGTTTCCTCCGTCATCGTAATAATTGCCATTAAAACCATTATTTGAACCAGAGGGAAGATTTGGATTGTGGGCAGCTGGGATTGAAGGAAAAACAGTGGATACACTCGTTATTGTAATAACCTGGCGAACTATTGATGATGTTATTGTTGATTTTGGTGGTGGTGATGATAATGGTGATGGTGATGATAATGGTGATGGTGATGATGGTGGTGGTTGTGGTTGTGGTACTGTTGTTGCTACTATAAGATTTTGAGTGATAACAACGATAGCATTTGTTGTAGGCTGAACATTTGGTTCAGGAGTAGGACCAGCAGAAGGTAAGATAGAAGTAATAGCTAGTATATTTTGGGTTATTGACGGTATTATTTGAGATGAGTTATCTTGTTGCGGTGCAGCAAATACGGACAATTTTTCATAATGTAGATTGAAGAACAGAGTAAATGAAAACAACAAAAAAATTATTGATGACCTCATGAAGTATTTATTATTTATTAAAAAGAGGAAATATAATTAAGGAAAGCTATGTATTTTAACGAGTCGAAAAATTTATTTGAATAGGCCTTCAAATTTTCAAACAAATGCTTACGGCTGGGTCGACTGAATGTAAGAATAAGGAAGGATGTTAAAGGGGTTAAACGTTTCAGAAAAAAATAAGATACGAACACGATACTAAGAAAAGCACAATTAATTCACTTGACAGGCAGAGAAATTATCGACATACCTTTAATTTGATTGTAAATGAATGAATCATCATCGCCCAAGATACTTGTAAGGAAGAGAGTGTGAAATCAAGATAACTTTCGATTTCTGGAAATTAAGCAAGTTTTAAATTGATTAATTGATATTGACCAAATTGAGGTATCAAAATGCATTTGATCGATGAGTTTCACAAATAACGATTTTCTAAAAACAGTAACAGTGCGACTTCGGCAATAATGCTTGCTATTAGATAAACGATGGAAAACGCAATAGAAGTGAATAGGAATGGAGTAGACTGTATACTATCTAACTACCCGCCTAACTGTCTAGCATTAATGTATTCTCACCAAGGATTTATTGTGACGTTTATTGACCATGTTTTCTCTTTTTACGACGGCCAGATTCCTTTAATTTGATATGTAGTTACAGAATATAAATAATGGACACAAAATTAATAATGTAAACAATTTCATTGTGTTCTGTATCATTCTGTGTTCAGCATTGCCCGTCCAAGGTGACTCTTGGTACGAATTTAGAAATGTCTGTAAATTAATGCTACTTGAATTTATTTTAAAGTCATTTTTTGGTAAGTAATGAACACATGTTGCAAAAGGACATCTAATATGCATGTACATGTAGTATATATGTGTACAGTATCTAGTATGTATGTATTGTGTGTACGTGTATCGTAAAGTGTTGCATTCCCCCTAGAATAGTACTCCCAGATTAAGAACCGGGCATATTTCAATACCATCGTGCGAAACTTCTGATTCATACTCAGGTATAATTTAAATGAGCCTCTGCCTAAAGGTCGGTTCCAAAATACCCCCCTTTAATTGTACCCTGCATCACCAGGTATTGGATGCAGCGTTCAATGGTAGGCATTTCAATTCTTTGTCTTTAACTGCTATATTCAAAATTTTCATAGTCTACCAGAAAAAATTGAGTACTTTATGACACCCCAGAGTAATCATCAAAAATTTTTTCTAATTCACATGAATGGACCGTTGGAGATGTGATGTCGACAAAACGATCCTGTACATACGCGGTGAAGAGTTATGTTAACCCAGTTTTTAGCATAAGGTATAATTATAATCTTTAAAACCTGAAACGACCGGTAAATTTAATAAAACATAAATTTAATTTTTCAAAAAACCCAAATTTCTAACTTTCAAGCAATACACGCCTTTTGACTTTTATAAAGATAGTTTTAAATTCAATATAATAATACATACGGTTTTAAATTTATGTCAACAAGCTCGACACGTGCCACGCTTGTTCCATTATTATTAATAATAAATGAATTGCAGAATTGCTGCATTATAAAATACGAATGGTATGGTACATATGGTATATTTTATGCACTTTATGCTTTTATAATTGCTTACGCTCCTATAGTCGAAACGATTATTATAGGCATTTACATAAGAAATTTCAAAAGATACGAAAGACTTAATGTTATAAATTATTTAGTCTTCTTATGAATTAATAATAACGAAAGGTCCTCACGAAAGCATTTAAATCAAATCTCGGCCTTAAAATTGTGTGCAGTATATCATCAGGGCGTGACAAATCCAAATTCCGTGACTAAAATTTATCATTTATTAAATTCTTTTGCAACCAATTTTATAACTTATTTACGGACACCAACCAAAAATTTTTACCTCGTATTTAAGTTCTTTAATTTTTTATGCCGGGACTTTTCGGAAGGTATACATAACTATAACAAATTATAGGCTTTGATATAAATCCCTATCTTCTGCGATATTTATGTGATATATCTCTGCTGCATTCTATCTTTGACGTGTTTAAAAATTGGTGATCATCGTGTAACCAAACTGTCAAATCAAGTCATGTGAAAATAAATATATATATATCTGATATTTTATTTCATGGGATACACAATTGTAATGTTTATCTTGCATAATCTCAGGGCTTCTACCGCGTCCGTGGTAGAAAAAGTGTCATCACTTGACTGTCTTGAAGAAACTTTTGCTGAACTTTCAGATTCTTTTACAATATTACATCAAAATTTTCAAGGCATTAAACAAGTTCATGAATCCTTAAATGAATTCAATAAATCATTTTCAGGGTTTTTATATGGAATTAAAATGAATGCACATTGTGTAGAATTTTCTGAGGTACTTTTTATTAATTTTTTATTTATTAATTTCATTAATTTATTTATTTACATTCTTATAGGCGCCAACGAAAGAAACTTTTACTAGTTTTATTCAAAAGCGTGAGGGTATTGTATTATTTAAAATTTTTTATTGATATTCTTTACATTATTATATAAATTAAACCATTTATATTTCAGCCGATTTGTTTAAGGAAAATAAATCTACACCAATTGCAACACCAATTCATAGAATCAAAACCCCAACTCCCATTAGTAGTAGAATCAAAACCCCAGCGCGACCACCTCCACCAAAGAAAAAGAAAATAAATAAGGCTTTAGTTATCAAAGTATTTATGTCACGTGTTTACGCGGTATGGTAAATGAGGATTCGAATTCCGAAGCTGATCTATGTAAATTTTATAGACATTGATCAAGAAAATTGTCGATAGCTTACCATCAAAATATCGTGATCAACACGTAAATATTAACATTTTTGTTGATTTATAATTCGGTTTGTTTAGAATATTTATATTATATACGAATTAATTATAACAGCAAGCAAATCGTAAAAATGTGGAAATGATTCTTAGACTTTTATTTGAAAATCCATCGGAGGGAAAGTATGTATCCATTTAAGGAATAAGCACTATACTCTAAATTATTTTTAAACCTTTTTTTTTTTTATGCCTATTATAGGTATATTCAAGATATCGTTAAATGCACTGAACTAGCACGTGGTCGATGTATTGAATACCTTAATGCACTTATCAATACCGAACATGTAGTAAAATTAAGTCATAAAGGTATTTTATACAAGCTTAGGGATGATGAAGTTAGTTTAGGTTTGGTTTAGATTCTAAAACTTGGTTCTCAATATTTTGCAAGACATATAATTCGTATTATGTTTTTAGAAAATATATATTTTAATCTTCTGAATAACTTTTAGTTAATAAAAATTTGACTTATAAAAGGGTAAAGTAGAGATCATATATCGAAGTAAACGGGTTTGTCAAATAGCTTGGTCTTACCAAAATGAATCAAAAGATATAAAAAACATTCGTTCTAGCCACTGGCTTACGTATCAAATAGTTATATGAGCCAGTAATCAATCGCGAAACCCTGTGATAAGCTTAAATGAAGTACAAGTCTAGAACAAGAAATTTTTAAAAGTGCAAATATTATGCGTAATAGTAGTATTACAGAAGGGTTTATTATATAACAATTAGAACAATTCTAGTTGTACTCGAGAAGTTTTACTGACCTTGGTAATATTATATTACTATATATTGCAAGTTTTCAACTTGTATGATAGTAAAACAATTTCAATTATATTTAGAGAGTTATATCAATCTTAATAATCTATATTATTATATAGATTTATTTTATATTGATTAATTAATTTCAGTTGTTTGTTATAAATTTTTATATAGGTGTTACAATGCTTAGTTTTGGTTTATTATACGTATAAAAAATATTAGCCTATTTTTAAGATTTGTTTTTTATAAATTATTTAGTTATATTAGAGATGTTTTCAAATTTAATAAGACTAATTTTTTGTTGTGTTTACTATTTTTTTTATTACTATAGGTTTAAAATTAATATTTAAAGAGTTTGTTAAAAATTTGTAAATAAATTTTTTTATTAAAATTTTTTTCTAAATTTATCTATTTTTAACTTATAAGTAATATATATTTTTTCTTATAATATAGAATTAAATACTATTATAATATAATACTTATTTTCAAATATCAAATAAAATTTTATTTAAATATTTTAAAATTTAAAAAAAATAGATTATAAGCATATTTTTAATAATTTTTTAGACAAAATTGTCTGAAAAAGCTTACAGGTTAAGGAATAATACTAATTTGTAAATATTTAATTAAATTAATATCAGTAGGTTCCCTCCAACCTATCCTAGCTTTAACCTAATTTGAAATAATTAGCAGATAGCATTTATAGGAAATAGGGGGTGTAATGTCACATTGGGTGCCAATTTTGTAGCACAAATGTAGTTAGAAATCTTTAATCTTAGAACTTCTGTTTTCTAAAAATGTAATAAAGTTTCTACTCTGACGTTATTGAAATAAAAAAAAAAAAAAAAAAATTAATATCAGATTTATATGTAATAATTTTTGTTTTTTTATTTTTATTTTATTTTTTTAAAATCTTTGCCTTTGGAAAATAATTTTTATTTAAGTTTTTATCAAACATAGATGTCTTTAAGAACCTTCTTATATTGAAGGTTACAACTAATCACACATGCAATTTTGATTTTTAATTTAAATAGTTTATTTAATATATTACTATATAGATTTTATACTAAATGTTATATTTGCAAATCAACTATAGGTTTTATCTATTTAAACTCTTTGCATATACAATTCTCTTGTATTATAAAAATACAATTTTTGATTCTTATCAATACCTTTAGAACTATTTTATTTTTAGCAGAAAACTTAGTAGAGCCTACTATGTTTTACACATGCTAACCTAACTTTATACAACATACTATAGTTATTTAATATTTGCAAATATAGAGGTTATCTGTTTAACTACTATTTCTACTCTTATAAAATTTATTAGAACCTTAATATTTATTTTTTCAATATCTTTTTTATTATCTCTTACTAATTATTATTTAGAATCAATAGACTCTAACTAGACTATCAATTTAGATAGTCAGTATAATATACTTTTATATTATTTTTCTTTAGCAGAATCAAGCTATTTAATTAATTATATATTTTTTTATATATATTTTTTATCTAGTTTTATCTAATTTGTTTTTTTAAATATATTTTATAAACTTCAACTAGTTCAATAATAAGGGTGTGGTGACTTAGTGAAGTGGATAAGTTGTCATACTCCCAAGTGGTAGGTTGTGAGTTCAAAACCCATCGACAGTGAAATTTGGATAATCACCTATATAATATATAGACGGTATTACGGCGATGGTATTCTGTTGATCAGTTTGGATAGGATACTTGTAACTATGGTCGCACCAGCATGACTGCCAGGTCTGAGGCATCTATGTAACCTGTTACACAGAGGAATGCAAACCAGTACCAGGCAGTGCAAACCTAAAATAAGTTCTCAGGTCAAGTAAATCCATAGAACTGAAAAGTCAGAGCTCACTTGAAAATTCTGAGCAGAGAGGTAATATGGATCTTTGACAGTACTACTGTAAAGGCTAGACCTAGAAAATGGATACCAATGTGAAGGATTTAGGCAGGCAAGAACCTCAGGTGAGGGGTATCACCAACCAGGCCACCAGATTTCAGACTGGAAGAAAAGAATATTGGGCTGGCCTCAATATACCAAGAACAGGTCACAGTCCTTCTGGGCTATCTGAATTGGGAGTCTGGGTTCAAAGCAGAGGTATACTAAAAATACTAAGGATATGCTGTAAAGTTAGTACTGGTGTCTGGGTAAACTCTGTAAGGGTAGCCCATATTAGTGTTCTAAAAGTGGATAGATAGTTAACAATAGGAGGCCCCTTGTGCCTTACTGGCAGGTAATGTATTCTGAAATATGTATTGGCCTGAGAACTAGTACAAAAAGGATAGGTACCATACTGCTCAGACAGTATACTAGGTAGGTATATACAGGAGGTTAGTTTGGAGATTCCAATATGACAAAGCAGATGATCAGAGGGTTTAAATAGATAATCTCCTAGTAGGTTATAGGTATGACATCTAGTATAGAACCTTAGAGCAGACTACTTAAATAGGCAACCAAAAGTTGCACACGTGACTAGCTGTACTCTTATCTTTGTAAAAATAGTTGTAATAACTAACCCGATATAAAAGTTAATAAAGTATTACTACAAGTATGACCTTAGCAAAAAAAAAAAAAAAAAAAAAAAAAAAAACTAGTTTAATAATATTATTAAAAATCTATATTATCTTTTTATTCAAAAATTTTTAAATAAGTTTTTAGCTTTTTAGTTTCTTAGTCTTTTATACTTAATGATCTTATTATAGTTTTGTACTAAAGTTTTATGTGACACTAATTAGTAATATTCTTCTATATAGAATGTGGCAACTTAGTAAAATGTATAAGTTATTATCTCTTAAGTAGTAGGTTGTGAGTTCAAAACTCACCAATAGTGAAATTTGGATAAACACCTATATAATATATAGACAGTATTACAATGACAGTATTCTGTTGATCAGTTGAAATAAGATATCTGTAATTATGATCACACTAGCATGACTGGCAGGTTTAAAGCATCTGTGTAATCTTGATTATACAGAGAAATGCAAATTGATACTAGGCAGTGCAAATCTAAAATAAGTCTTTGTGATCATATAAATCTATAAAACTAAAAAGCTGAAGCTTATTTAAAATTCTGAGCAGAAAGATAGCATGGATCTTTAACAATACTACTGTAAAGACTAGATCTAAAAAATAGATACCAATATAGAAAAATTAGATAAATAAAAATCTTAAATAAGGAGTGTCATCAACCAGGTCATTAAATTTCAGACTAGAGAAAAAGAATATTAGATTAGCCTCAATATACCAAAGACAGAACACAGTTCTTTAGACTATCGGAATTAGAAGTCTAAAGTCAAAGTAGGAGTATACTAAAAGTACTAGGAATATGCTGTGAAGTCAGTACCAAAATCTAAATGAACTCTGTAAGAGTAACCCTTGTTAATATTCTAAAAGTAGATAAATAATTAACAAAAGAGCCTCTTATATTTTACTAGCAAGTGATATACTCTGAAATGTATAATAGTTGGAAATTAGTACAAAAAAAATAGATACTATATTGCTCAGATAATATATTAATTAGATATATATGAGGGTTAGTTGGAGTTACATTATAACAGAGTAAATAATTAAAATATTTAAATGAATAATCTTCTAGTAGATTATAGGTACAGCATCTAGTATAAAAACTTAGAGCAGATTACTTAAATAGGTAATCAAAAGTTGTATATATGACTAGTTATACTCTTATCTCTGTAAAAATAGTTATAATAACTAACTTAATAAAAAGTCAATAAAGTATTGCTACAAAGTATAGCCTTTAACAAAAAAAAAAAATTCTTCTATATACATGTAACATTATATTTTACGTAGATGTTCTAAATTTCTAATAACAAGTAGAACCTAACTTAATATATTTGAATTACAATTACATAAGGCCAACTGATTAACAGAAGACAGTTATTATAATATAAATAATTTTCAAATTTTATTATAAATAAAATTTGAACATTAGATCTGTTACTTAAAAAATAACAAACCAACTACTATACTAGAATTATTATTTTTATATAATAATTTTTATAATATATTTATACTACTATATTATTATATAAACATCTAATATAATATTATATTTATATTTTTTTAAATTAAGACTATATTTTTTTGTTTTTTAATTTAAGCAGTCATGCTAATACTTTATTAAAAATTTTGAAACTATATAAATTATATAGAATTTTTTTAATATTTAAGTTCAGTATTACTTAGCTATCTTATTGATATCTAAGTATAATCTGTTACACTATTCTAAACAAGAATAAACTGTTTATCTGACTATCATCCTACAATAGGATATCATTAATCTGATAACATCTTTTTATAAAAAAATAAAAAAAATTTTATATTCAAAAAAAATAAAGATATAGGATAAACAATAAAAAATATAAAACAAAAAATAAAAGAAGAAAAAAAAATAAATAAATAAATAAATATATAATTTGCAATTTACAAAAAATCTAATAATCATAATTTTAAATCTATATTAGACATAAAAATTGTAATTTACAAATATTAGATAACTATAATTATAAGCTTGTATTAAGCTT